CACATACACACCCCACACCACACACATCATCACACACATATACACACCCCATACCACACACATCATCACACACACACATGCACACCACACATCATACACACCACACACACACACCATCATGCACACACACACACACACACACACACACGCCACACCACACACACACACCAAGCTTGCTCATCCCCCGGGGTCTTTGTCCTTGCCATCACTCGGTCTGAAAGCCTTTCTCCCACAGTTCCACCTGGCTTGCGTCAAGTGTCTCCTCCCATCTCCTTTGGGTTCTCTTCCCTTGCCTTATGCTGTTTGCAGAGCACTTCTTTCTGTCTGACATTACCCGACACACTTCGTCAGTGTCTGCAACATAAACTCCATGAAGGCAGGAGACCCATGTGGCACCTGGTACGTGCTTAATATCTGTGGGGTGAATGTGTGTGACTGCGCATTTGTGTGTAGATGGATAGACTGTGTAAATAGCTAGACTTGAGAATTCCTATATGTGGAACTGTAGAATAATCACGTTGAATTTGTGTATACACTAAGTTTGTGTATGAATATGACCAGCCAAGAAAGTGCATGTGTTCATGCGTGACAGGCATGTGTGCTTGACTAGTCTGTGTGCGTGCGGGAGGTGTTGTCTATTCCAGGGAGCTGAGCCACCTCATGAGAGGAGGAGGCCTGGCTCCTTGTCCAGATGTCCACTTACGCACCCTCTCCCACCTTCCTGGCCCAGGCTTTGGGACCCTGTAGACACTGGGCCGCGTTCCAAACTCGGCTCCAATGGCAATACCAGTGGGAAGTCAGAGGAAGACTGTGAGGCTATGTTGCTGGCCTGGGCCTGATGGGACCTTGTGCTGGTCTGAACCATCCTAGTAGAAGGGATGCACGGCTCGCAGGAACCAATCTGCTAGAATGCTTGCTGATGAATGGAGCCATTCGCCACAAACAATGAGGCTGTAGAAATGTGGGGCAGGTCCTGGATTTGCTGTCTGGTCTCAACATATCACTACCCTTTCTCTAAGCCTGGGTAGGCTCCTCTGTGGACAGGGCTTGCTGTCCTTGGCCTGCTTGTTTCTGGGGGGTATGGTGAGAGTAGAGTGAGGGAACGTGGTGAGTGTGTATGCGTGCTCATAGCCCGAGTGGTCTTATGTCTCTGCAGCTTGTTAAGCGTGGCTTTAATTCATCCTCTCCTTTGCTCGTCAGTGTGAATGGCTCAGTCGTACAGCCCTGGGCTTGCCCCAAGTGGGCCTCAGTGGGGATTTGTCGCAGGAATAAATGAACGTACACATGAGTAAGTGCCTGGGTGATAGAACAAAGAACGATGGCTGCACAGAATGGCCAGTGAGTTGGTAAATCACAGTGACTACATTGGTGAGCACCTATGGCGAGCCAGAGGAGCCTTGGTGAGTTCAGCGTTTGGCTCCTACCAAAAGGTAGGCGGTTCAAGCTCTCCAGCCACTGCAAGGGAGAAAGATGAGGC